TTTAAATTGAAGTGCCTGCAAACGAGAATTTCATCCGCATAATGTGAGTCTGTGCCACTTAATTGGACCGATATGAGCATTTTATTTGGCTCAAATTTAATTTTGTAACACTTCAAAATTTGTAGCTTTTCTGGGATTGAACTTAAAAACAAGAACGATCTCCTCAATAGCTCGAATGGCGTGTTGTGTGGTGCAAATATGATTACGGCGTACATCAATGTCAACTTAAAGATACCGCAATATGTGCTAAAAAGTGACGGATATCCCTGCACCAGTCCTACTAATTTAAGTCTCACGCAATTCGTTGTACGGACTCCGACAATCAGGACGAGAGTGATATGAAGAAATGGACAGTTGGATGATTGGACATGAGTATCAGCGTTACTCTATCTAACCGTGCTTGTACTACAAGATGATGTAAACAAGGGAGCATTGGATTTGTGCTTGTATACTTCGACGACATACTATGCGCAGCGAACAACGAGACTGTGAAATTGACGCTGTTGATGAAGCTTTTTTACCAGTATGAATTAAAAGATCAAGGTTGTTCATAGGAGTACCTCGGTGTGCAAGTGAACGTGAATGTTGATTCGATTTCAATCGATCAGTCTAAGTATGCAAAGGAGTTTCATAGGAAATGCGATTACGAGAATGCTCACGCAGTCGGGAATGATTGAGAGACAAATATGCACCTGCGATCTGCTGCGGATGACGTGAAGTGAACGCCAAATTTAGCTACCGTGGAGCAACATATATGCTTATGTATTTGGCTACCTGCAAAGACCTACTTCGGCGTATTCTCTATGACAAATGAGTCGATTTGTGTCGGCAGTGAAGAAGCAGCATAAACCATGTGTTCCACGTGCTGACGCTACCTAATCAGCACGACCAATCCCGAAATTAAGACTAAACGTCATCAAACGCATGGTCTGACGATCAATTCATGAACATCGTGGAAAATGATTTTGCGACGGTGACTGGGCCAGTGATTTAGACAATCGCAAGGGCACTGGTGGATTTGTGTTTACAAGAGCATGCGGCGCAGTAGCATAAGCCTCCAATCGTGAATCAATCGTTACTCTTTCTACGGCTGAAGCTGAATACGTATACTCTACACGTCACCGCGTGCTAAGCTATGATGAATATTGTGGCTGAATGATAAATAATCAAATAATCAAATAGGTGTTACATAAACTTACTGTAAATGTACGAATTGGGATTGACAGTCAGTCTGCTTTCGTTATGGCGACAAACTTACCTGTAGCTGAAGGACTCTACACAATGATCTGCGCTGGCATTGCGTACAAGAACAAGTGCAGCGACGTCTGGTGAAGCTTGAAAAAAATCGCGGTGACAACAACCCTGCACCTTCGCTAAATCAAGTGAGACTTTGTCGACTCTCCGAAATGGTGGGTGTATGTGCGGTATAATCAAGGTTCGAATCTTTCGCTTCGAGATGGGCGTGTTGGAAAAAGCATCGAGTCGCAACGGCGCGTTGTTGGGACCAAGAGTTGATTGGAAGACTATCCATTAGGACAAGGAAGAAATCAGAATGCACAGGAACGAATTGGAGACCCTGAGAGACAACAATGGTGAGACTATGCATATTATGAGACTAGGTAGGGTTGTAGAAAGACTTTAATCCCATTGAATACATGTCAGTGTTGTATATTCACCGAGACTCGAAAGTCATCCGGGTTTCGAACAAAAAGCTCTATAACACCATCAGAACGCAATCTGCGTCTAGCAAAAAACAATTCCCCTAATTCTGCATAAGGTGCTGTGAAACCTGGTCTTGCAAATGTAGGACAGGGGTTGTTACACCGCACATATTGCAAAAGACTCGACTCTTAAGAGTCCCCTGATGCACAATTGTGCCACCTGAGCGGTCTGTGTAAGCAACATTGGCAACGCTGAGCGATAGCAACGAGTATTACCGATACCGTTGGACAACGAGTGATGATGTTTTACGACTTATATTGTAGAGCTATCCATTCTGATGTTCGAGCGCCTCCAACGGACTGAGCTAGAGATTGGGGTCCCAAAAGTTTTGTTGGACAGCCTTTGACATCGACGAAATAGAATCAGCAAAACACGGATCCTGACACCGTGTAAGTGCGCAGAGGCGCGCGTAGGATACGTTCGGTCTCGATGCCATCTGCCCGGAAGGCACAATGTGTGCCGTCCGAAAATAGGCATTGTTTGGGTTACTTGCCCCATTTTGGTATCGCTCCGACGTGTGGCATAGCAACTACCGAGGCTCGTCAAGTGGGGTTTAACACAACATGTCAAATGGATCCAGTCATGGAGTCCATGCTGGCTTCACTTCTGCTGTCACCTTGCTGTTAGGCCAGAAAACTCGGCAAAGGGATCCTGATGGAGCTGGAAAGAGTGGAATAGGACTAACTTAACACGAGACAGATGAGTCCAAGTCAGGTAAGAAGAAAGCTAGGCATAATGACTTCACAAAACTGGTTCGCTGGAGAAAGAGACCACATATGGCTAGGCTTCGACTTGTGGATGTATCCACTGAAAATACGTAGCGGAGGGGTGGCCGTGCTTGCACTGTGACGACGGGTTAGTATGACAAATGCGGCCATGTGCAATGAAACAGCTTAGGCTCGAGCGGAAGGGAAGTAGAACGCACGTGTGCTACATTTCGTTGGCAATAGGGTCACACTTACGGCCTACGCGCGTGCGGTGTCCTTCACCGCTTGTATAGCACGTAGCCGTTTTTGTAGCTAATCTTTCTCGGACTTTGCAGCATAATGTGAGTACGGATTTACTGGAACGTGAGCTGTCATTTAGGGCTTCACTTTGCATGTATCCAGGGTATCGCAATTGCTTCAGTCGGTTGTATGGTAAACGTATTTGCCGTTTTCAACGCCCCTGAATCACATCCAGCAAACAAATTGCATTTGTCACGCCATCTACAGTCAAAAAGTCACCTCTCTCGTTGGTTGTACTGTACGTCGTTCCTCTTCTCAACTCGATACGCTCTTCCTGACGTCTGTCAGATTCTGACCGTGGAATTACCATGGCTGGACTTGGAGGTGACACCACATCATCGTAAACAAGCCCACGAAATCTTGATCATATCGACAGCTCTGTCGATCCGAATAATTGTGATTCCGCAGCGAATTGTCGAATCTGACATGAGTAAGCTTGCGCCCGTCGCTTTCCGTTTGCGTTTCAAGTACCCGACAATTGTGTCTTGACAAGCGATTCAACTGGCCTGTGCCAGTGGTGGTGCGGGTAGCAAGTCTTAGGATTGTGGCCATGCGACCGCTTTCTCTCTTCGAGCGAAAGAGTAAGAAGTGAAGCCATCGGGTGACAAAGTATGCAGCATCGGCACATACAAAAACAAGACCAGATGGTGCACATGCCGATAAGGCCACGCCGGCATACTCGAGTGCGACTGGCAGTGCATTGCGAGATCCAGCATCGCCATGTCTTGATGTGCGATGAGTTGTCACACAGCTGTCATTGGAAGGCGCGGACGACTCACAGAGGGGATGGCAGCGTCAAGGAGGTCAGCTCCGAGCTTCAATGTGCCTAGAAGATGTCCAGTTTCTCTACGCCGTTTGTCAATAGAAGTTGCAGCACCATGCTGTGCTAGTCTACTGAACGACCCATGTCCAAACTTACTAGCAAATGGCTCTGCCAGACCTCTCTAAGGTAGCATCGAGACGACGTGGCAGAAGATGGACGCGCGCGAAGTGAGGTGGTCAAGTCAAACCGATCTGGCGATAGAGTGTAGGCTCTAGACCAGATCGACATGACTTTGCTGGCTCATTGCGACTGGAAGGCCAAAGGATCACGACACACTAACCCCCGAAGTATCAAATTGGCAGCTTAGAGCAAGCAGATGATTTCGATCATCGACTACGAGCGAGACGGACGATAGGGGGCAAGTGCCTCGAGCTTGTTGTCAACAGATGATCATAGTCAGTGAGATAGCCCGTCTCTCTAGACGACTGACTATAAACTCCGACTACTATGGCCTTTGTCCACGGACTCGACGAAATAACCGCATTGTCGCACACTTCCTGCGACGTCGACGGAAATTTTCCCCAGAAGTGTATTTCTAACCTGATTACGTTTCGCTTTTGTGACCCTGAGCTTGCGACAACAGGATGAGACTGAACTTTCGGCCACGTGGTGAGCGTTCCGTCACAAGCAACAAGGCGCGAGCCCGTTCTCAAAATAGAGCGATTGGTCGTGCTGCCCGTAATTTAGCGTCCACATGGTCTCGTGACCCTAAATGTTCTGGAACCGCCCCTCGACTGACTATATTTAGTCCACCGCAATCAAAAGATGCGCGTAGAAGTCAGCAGAAGTCCTGACGTGCGTTTCCCGCCCAGATCATCTGGAACGTTCTCTCCCGCACACAAGAGGGTCAATCAAGCATGAAAGCATACTATCGATCAGATGCCATCCGTCCCGAGAGCCGTTTCGATCCGTCCATACAAAGCACAAGTCGTTGCGTTTTCAGCCACTCGTTTTGAACTCGATTTCCATTTCTATCGAATAGAAACCGAGAAAAGCCGCGTGGCAGTTAGGGCGGCATTCCTAACTCGCGCGTTTCGAGAGAAGAGTCGCGACTGACCTCACGCCCTATCGACCGCGACGTGGACGTCCTGTTGTCTCGCACGCAGCCTCCGCGACGTCACGCCAATCGATACAGCAGAGAGGCACACAGCGTAGCTCAGGTGTGCGTAGCAGTCGTAGCGTCTAGAAACCCACAGCGCACGCAGCAGCGAAGCGGCGACTCGACGAGCATTCGGGAGGCCGGTGGCGAATATCAGTTCTGACAGGTGCGAGACATCCTCTGAAAGATAATAAACCTCATTGATTGTGGCACTGACAGGTTGAGGTTTTGTGGCATTCTCCAGCGCGTTAGAGTCCCCCGCATTGCTCCCGCTCTATCTCGTACACGCGGACCTAAATCGACGGTTTGACTGCTTCGTACATCTACACACACACTTAGACACACGAGAATGACGTCGTCGACCACGATGAGCGACTGGATCTTTACCGAAGCAGAGATGCGCTCGACCCCGTCTTTGCGCGACGGCATGAAGTACATGGACGAGCTCGTGCTCCGTCGCGACGCCTGTGACTTTATCGAGAAGATGGCGAAGGCGCTGGACATGCCGAAACTCGCGCAGATCAGCGCAGACAATTACTTCCACCGCTTTTACATGCGCCAGTCGCTCGTGCGGTACGACAAGTACCTGGTGGCGGCCGCGTGCGTGCTGCTGGGCTCGAAGGCGGAGGAGAGTCCCAAGAAGATTGGCCACGTGGCGAGGGAGTACATTGCGGTGCGGAAAGTGGTGGAGAAGGATCAGGTGTTTGCTATCCAGAAGCACGATCCGCAGGTGATCGCTGGCAAGATTATCTCGATGGAAGGCACGTTGCTGCACAATTTGGCGTACGAGCTGACGCTGTCGCATCCGTACAAGTACATAAATGAAAAGGTGGACAAAGTGGTGCGGCTGCAGCAATTGAGTGAAAACACGGCCAAGATCCAGAGCAGTAAGATCAAGCAGGTGGCATGGTCGTTCTTGAACGACAGCGCGTACACAGTCGCGTGTTTGCGTCTAGAGTCGGTCGATCTGGCAGCCGGTGCCGTGTACCTGGCCGGACTCTACGAGAGCTATGTGCCGGACGACCTGTGCACAGCGAAGGGTCAGCCATGGTGGAGTGTGTTGGCAACTCCGCTTCATACCTTGCAAGGTATATTGGCATGCTTGTGAACGTTGTTCTCTTGTCTTGTGAGTGCTGGCAATGTTTAAAGAAGCTGTGTTCTCCCGTTTGTTTAGATGCGGCTCGCTACTTGCTCAACGCTTACATGGCGCCGTACATCAAAACGAACGTGCTTGCGGCGGGTCTGTCAAAGTTAGTCTACGCATTCCACCCGCCGAAGCTGGTCGAAAGCCCCGCATCGTTTGCCGAACTGGATGCCGTGGAGCTGGAACAGTCGTCTCCTATGGTGTCGTCGCCAATGGACTCCGCCGTGTGCGTGACGTCTCCGGAATGCGGCGGCAGCCAAGGCCGTTCACCGTACGACCACGACTTCGACCACGACGTGAAGACGCACGTCAAGGTCAGTGTGGAGAGTCCCCGCGAGGCGGCACAGCTTCCTGCGCCGCCTGCATCGCTGCTGGACAGCTTCCCTGTTGCCAACGATAGTTCAAGTGCTGACAAGTTGTTGGGAAGCGCAGCAGCGATGCGAGTGGCGAGCACTGGACGACTGACGCGCAAGCGCGGTCACGACACCGAAAACACGTTTTGTTCCGAGAAAAAGTCAAAGTGCTGCTTGTAAGAAAAGGCCGCGACGCGAGTGAGCCAAAGCGCCGGTCGTACTGCCAAACGGCCAGCGCCGCAGTTGCAGGAGAGGTCAGGCGAGCTAACTCAAGCTGCGAGCGGGGACCGGCTGGCCGTGCACGACGACCCAACCCACTCATGCACCGGCCCCGACGCTCGAGGCGCTGCCAACAAAGTAGAAAAAGTAGAAAAGCGATAAAACCCGACAATAAAAAAACATATTTAAACGCACACATATGATAGACACTGCGCGTACCTCTGTCCCCACTCAGAAGGACGCGGCCGACCCAACTCACTGACTGTCTCTCAGCCACTTTCCTGCTGAGCAGTCTCAAGTCTCGGGCGATCGCTCCCGACAGCGACAAGACGGACGATGCACAGCGCCAACCGAGCAGAGCCCGTCCATCATCGAAGCCTCTGGTCCTCCTCCACACGTCGTCGTCTCTCTCGCTCCCGCACTCAATGCCCCTCAGCTCGTGAGTCCCATCGCGACAGAGCATCGGATCGTCCGTCCGTCCCACCTGCCATCGCGCGTCGAGGCGTTCTAGAAAGAGGTGCACCAGACGCTCAGCTGACAACGTCACGTCGTACAGAGTGCGCTCAGACGCCGCCGAGACGTCGCTCGGACAGCGCGTGTCGGTTGTTATTACCGGTAGCAACGTGCGGACTTCGTGTCGAGTGCGTTCCGCGCTTCAACCGGACGCATTGGACGGATCGGCGCCGCGACTCTGTCACTCACTTTGCGTTTTCCAAACTGCTCTGGCAGTGCGCTTTCGCTTCGTGGTACCCGTTCAAGTCGATGTGGCATATATCGGTTTTGAAGAGAAATTTGACGTAGACATTTCATAGCAGGACTCTATGGACTCGAACTGGCCCTTCTCCCGATCTTACAGAGAAGCAGACAGACGAGGAAGAAATACTCGGCACACTGCACCATCGTCGTCATCATCATTATCACCGTCGCCACCTTCGCAACCACACAGTCACAGAGTGAGTCACAGTGTGAGTCACTCAGTCACTCAGTTTGTAAGGCAAATGGTATACTTCGGGTTTCAAGTCGTTCACCCGCAAGTATTAGTGCACTTTGACATCGCAGAATTGGGTGCACGTTGTTGGAAAGACAGACAGATTGCAATCGAAACACCCGATGCGATTGACACATTGACTGCACCCGCCAAGTTCGTTGAGCACCAGTTTAGCACTAACATCGACATGTGAGCCCCTTCTGTAGCATCGATGGTAAGTACTCCAGAGTGAAGGGTACAGTGGCCACCTCCAACGCGTACCATACCTACATCCGGAAATTGGCAGAACTTGCAGGTGAAGAGAGGACAACTAGTCGTCACTGAGCTGTGCCCCTCCTGCGTCGAGCTTATTGTCCCTTCTCTGTCCACGCAGCTATTCGTGACGTCCAGACTCGTGGACCGTTTGCGACGACCTCAGCTACAATTCGTCATGCTCCTTCCAGCTCGACCTATGCCTGAAGTTGCTCCCAAGGCTTAGCTGCAGTCGCCTCGCCAGCCTTCATCCGATCGCTGAGCAACGCACTCGCATCTACAGACAACTTGTCCTCAATGTCACGGATACCCGGCACCGTCTCGCCCTTCTGAATGCAAGCCACCACCTCCTTGAATGACGTCGGGTACGACGGCCCATCAGCCGCCACGGTCGAGTTAGTCGCTGAGTCGGGCATCATCTTGTCTTCGTCGTCTCTAGACTTTACTCTAGAAGAGGTCGGGATGGCGTCCGACTCAAGACCACCGGCGTTAACGGCATTGCTGACGCTGGTCTGCTGTTCCAAGCGTGCCATGAACGCATTGAAGCTCGTGGAAGTGGGATCTGACGACACGCGGCTACTACTGAACATTCGTTCAGTGGTGCTTTCTTGTGTCGCTGAACACTGCTCCTCGACAAAGGCGGGGCCGCTGACAGTATTCGTACTCGTACTATTCATCGTGGCCGTTTCTGTCCTCTTCTGGTCTCGCTGAGCATAGAACTCTTCCAGACTCGCGTGCGCGATTTCCTCGAGCGATAGATTAGAACAAGCGTCCGCACTTGCAAGCGACTGAAGAGCCTTCAGTAGTGCACGCAGGATAGCGATGTTCTCATCAAACGCTCCGGTCGATTTGCTCGCCGCGTGCCATTTCCACTCCAGGTTCAGACCTGCTGCCTCGAATCCAATGGACTTGAGAAGCTCCTCATGATGCTGCAAAACGGACAACCGAATGCGTTAGTACAAACATGCTGTGCGTTTGCAGTCCGGTCGCGTTTACAGTCGAGCCCGGTAGAACGTACCTTGAGAGGCTCAACCTTTTGCTTGAAGTTTGCGTTGCCAGGAGCAATCCGGCGATACCGGGGCACATCAGGATTCTACATGTATAGCAAGCAATATGAACTGTTATGTATCAATAACACCGACCTCAGCAGTATAGTATGTGGCGTTACCTCGACAAGATTCTTGACGTACATACTGAGAATGCCCGCTGCCGACTTGAGCTGGCCCAGCGAATTCTGCGTCAAAAGTGGTAGTTTAGTCATCCTCAAGCGCGAACATCCAAGCAGAACATGCAAATTTCACCTCAGTACGAAGCTTCTTCAACGCCGTTTGCATCCGCTCAGCCTTTTGCATCGTATGAGATACCACAGCAGGTTGTTGCTTCTGTCTATCTACTAGGGTCGAGCCATCAGTAGCCTCACGAGTCGACAGGCTTTCCCTCGTTGCGTCTTCACTAGTCGCCTTCACATTTGCATCCACGTCGCTCGTGCTCTTCGTCCTTTTTGCAAGCAACAGTGCTTTGAGCGTCGATATCTCAGCCCTCAACTCCGCGATGGACTGCGCGTTGCCGTGCTCACGCAATGTACTATTCACATGCGCATCTAACAGCGTCTTGTTCTGCAAATCACGTTCCTTTTCGTCCAACGATCTTGTCAGTTTCGCCAGTTCGTTCGTCTGCTCCTGAATCGCTGCTGCTACACTCGACAGCTCCGCCAACAGCGCCTCATCTTTCTTGGCTGCATTTTCCTTTTCTTCCTGCACGGCAGATGCCTTTAACAACAACGGAGTCGGCCGCTAGAACGTCGTGTCAGCACGCAAAGCTCAAGGCACACGCACACGTCATGTCGAAACGTAACGTACCAGCCACGGAATGTATCCCAAATCGACTGCGTAGTTCCAAATGAACGTGACGATCGAAGCGGCACCAATGAGGGACGACACTGTCCAGAGCACGCGAACATAGGCCGGATACTGGGCACGGTATGGCATCATCGGCACTGCTGCAGATGTCGGCATCGCTCCGAGACCCACTGCTTGTTGTGCTCGTTGCGAATGTATCTGCTGTTGTTGCAGTGGCAACGAATTCGGCGCTGCCGCTGTGCCGCTCTTCTCGTGGCGCTCAATCGCCGCCTGAATCTCTTCTTTCGTCATCCCTTTGCCTTCTAGAAACGTCGCGCGCTCGGACAGCGGCGTCGACTTGACAATGCACACCGCACAAACAGCATCAGAAGCGCGAGAGCCACAGCGGGCAACGAGATGCCGCGCGAGGACGCGGACGTACCTGAACGCTCGGGTGCTGGAGGAACTTGAGCCCATTCTCGACCAATTCCTCGCGCATGTCGTTTGTTGTCGGTTAAGTGTATCTACCAACAGCGAATAGAGCGCCGACAGACGAATTAGAGCGGTACTGGACGCTATCGAGTCTCGCGTGAGCTAACTCTAATTCCGACCGCTTAGGGTCAAGTGGCTACAGTCTCTACGCGCCAGTCAGTTCGTCAGTCGCCCATCTGCAAGTGCCCACTGCTGCTACTGCTGCTGCTGCTGCTGCTGCGACTATGGCGCCTCGGGCCAAGCGAGCGACGAAAAGGGATCGGGACGAGCAGGAGAACAGTGATGACGGCGCAGGCCCAGCAGCGGGCAGCAACGCGGTCGTCGAGCGGCGCAATCCGTCGCACATTAAGAACAAAATGAAGCGGCAGCTCGTGATGCAAAAGTTCCGCAAGGAGAAGAAAGAGGCCAAGAAGGCGACGCAGCTCCAGCGGCAACGGGAGGCCGAGGGGAGGGGCGAGGAGGCGGCGCCCAAGATGGAGCCGCGCACGATCGACAGCATGCGGGAGAAGGAGGTGACGATGGTGAGTCCCGAAGGCGACGAAGAGGTCGACGCCGACGAGCGCGACGACGAGTTTGCGCGCATCTTTGCCAACGAAGAAGCGCCGAAGCTCATGGTCACGACGCGGCCGTTCCCGTCGGGGGACCTCTACCACTTTATCCACGACCTGCTGGACCTGCTGCCCAACTCGTTCTACTACAAACGAGGCACGTTTGACATCAAAGAGATTGTGCAGTTTGCCTGCAACAAGAAGTTCACGCACTTGATTGTGCTCTCGGAGAAGAGCAAGAGCTGTAACGGGTACGTTGTCTGTGATCGCAGCTGCAACGACGATGTGGACGTGGATGTCATTGCTCATGTTATTGTTTGCTGTTGCTGTGGCTGTGGCTGTCGTTGCGGCGTGTAGCATGCTCGTGAGCAGATTACCTGAAGGTCCGACGGCGTTTTTCAAGGTCTCGAACGTGAAGTTGACAGAGAGCATCAAGGAACGCGGCCGACGCACGAACCACCAGCCCGAGCTGATTCTCAACAACTTTTCCACGCGCTTGGGCCACCGCGTGGGTCGGTTCCTCGGCTCGCTCTATGAGCATCAGCCTGAGTTTGAAGGCCACCAAGTCGTGACGTTCCACAACCAGCGCGACTTTATCTTTGTACGGCATCACCGCTACACGTTTGAGAACGAGAAGAAGGCGCGTTTGCAAGAGATTGGGCCGCGCTTTACACTAAAGCTGCGCTGGTTGCAGCAGGGCACGTTCGACACGAAGTTTGGCGAGTTCGAGTGGATCCACAAGCAGCACCAGCTCGACACGTCGCGCCGAAAGTTCCATCTCTAGGCGGCCCGAACCAATTCGTTGTGCGCATAGTGCATTGGCTTTGGCTCACTGATCGAACCAACGGCCTGACCTCTCACGTGCTGCATCAGCAGCTGTAGCTCTGCAGTTTCTAGACATGAACACTACTCACCACTACTATAAAACGACTTGCGAAATCGCAACACAACTCCCGAACGACTGTGCAGCTGCTCGGCTAAGACTTTCAACTGCTATCAAGTGACAACTGCACAGCAAGTGACAGCCGCAGATCAAGTCATGCGCTGCGCCGGATGTGAGAGGGTGAGAGGGCACGACCGATTGCTTCAGGCAGATACATAAACAGGAGACGTTGTCCAAGTTGTCCTTATGTCGCAGTGCGTCCAACTCGACTATCGTATGAGAAAGAGCAAAGACCGACTCGCTTTAGGGCAGTTCAAATATATTCTAAAAGGCCAAATGCTCAAAGGGCGTATCCGGCAGCGCCTCAGCTTCTCGACAACCAGTAGCGGTCCACGACGCGCTTCCACCTCCTCCTGCTCGTCAACTACGCGACCCGTCTGCATCTTCTGCTCACGAAGAGTGCCGATACAGCCACTCATCCGACCGCCACCGCCACCGCCAACAGCTTAGGCGCTCGTGGACTCAATCAGGTGCGCAATCAGGTCGCGACGGTCCTGCGCCTTCTTCAACCCGGCAAAGACCATCTTCGTGCCCTTAATGTACTTCTTGGGCGCCAGCAGATAGTCAAACAGCGTCACGTCCGTCCACACAACGCCCGAGTTCTTGTTCGCGGCCGAGTACGAGTAGCCCTCTGCTTGGCCCGACTGGCGGTTGATCATGCCGTGCAGGTTCGGGCCCTGCTTGTGCGCCCCGCCCGCGTTCGTCGTGTGGCACTGCGCGCACTTGGTCTTGAAGATCTTGGCGCCCTTGGCGGCGTCTCCTTTGCCCCCGGCCACGTCCATTGTGCAACGTGCGACGCGTGCGCGGGAGAGAGAGAGAGAGAGAGAGAGAGCGAGAGAGAGAGAGAAGAAGAGCGCCGAAAGTGGGACGTGTGGCGCCAAGTCGGTCGTTTTCGGAATGTTCACGACCTGCGCGGAAAAGCGACGGTCCTGGGGGCTCGGGAAAAACCTCGCGCGTGAGGTTCTAACCCAACGTGCGGACGCGAAACGACCGGACCGCGGGGTTTAGTACGGACCAATCAGCGCACGGCGTCGAAACGTCGACCCCGCAACTTGTGCGTGTGTGTGTTTTTTTTTTTTTTCCTGCGACAAATGGCTCTGTCTATGTACGTGGCGTCCGGATAGGCGGAGACTTTCGCACGAGCGCCACCACACGCCAATGAGCGCATTTGGTCGTCAACGTCAACGTCGGACGGTACCGATGGCCCAGTTGCAGCCAGCGCGTGTGATTGTTGAATGGGAGGACTCGGTCTGCGCTGCAGATGTTGTTGTTGTCTGTGACGTTTCGTCGGACCTGCAAGAGAGAGAGAGAGAGAGAAAAAGAGGGGAGAAACCAGCAGCGAGGCAAACGCTCTAAGCTCGTGTGGTATCGCACGAGCTGGGAGAGACGCGGAAGAGCGATGCGCAGGTACACTGCACGATGCGTATATTGCATACGTGTTCCCTGAGCAGAAGTAGACGTCGCGCACGTTTCAGTTGCCTTGTAGCTATGTCTGAAGCCTCGTCACCACTCGTAGGAACAGAGACGTACTGGTCGCTGTCCAAGACGTTGCATCGATATGAGTCCGAGAAGCTGCGTACGTCTCATTGAGTTGTAGATCTCGTCCAGACCTGCGAGTTCGCCAGGGCTTTCACGTCAAAACTTGAGAGCAGTGCACTTTGCCAGTTACAGGACATCAGCCCACGCTATGTTTCGCCGCCGTCAATCATCGCATGGACGTGATGCTGGCTTCGTGTCCGTGGAGGCCGTCTACCGAGTGCAATTTTAATGGCTATTCCTTCGGCATCGCACAGTTTCCATTGGTACCAGCGACAACGACGTTTCACACACACTATTGCTGCACTTGACAGCTCGTGCCGCTCGTGGGGTGACTCGAACGACAAAGAACGCAGACACATGTGCTGCGGTGAACATCTGGTCTCGCACATTGCGCACCACATGATGGCTCGACTGGCCCGTGCTTGCCACGTGCGATGGCATCGAGCGAGTTGCACGGCTAAACTCGTCCGAGCAGTCTCCTTACAAGAGCTCTTGATCGGGACGACCGCTGCCGCAATTGCTCGAGGCAAACGTCAAAGCGGCCACAACATCGACGCAGCTGTCCCTTTCAAAAAGCACGTACCATCATCAAACGATCAACTACGTGCTCAAGAAAGACCGCCATTAATCGACCACACAATCCTGCACTCTCCTGTCACCATCGAAACTCGGTCGCGCTTTAAAAAGGTCCACGCAAACTGGAACACAAAACCAGGCAAAAATAAGTGGCTACCAAATAAAGAGCTCGAATTTGCGACCACGATCAAAACGTCGTTGCGCCTCCTCCCTCTATCGAAGAATACCGTCCGTCCACGACGCTCCGTCCAATACATTCCATCCAATACACTCCGTCCAATACGTTCGTCGTCCAGGACCGTCTTGACACGTAGTAGCCCCTCCTCTTCTGCAGCTTCATGAGGTACGTGCACTCGTCTGCCGCCAACCAATGGCTGCAGTTGCTCCCTCTCATGTACCCCCCCCACTGCTCTCTTTCTCACCATGCTGTCCACGTATATAACTCGTTCTGTGTGTCTTTGTGCTCGCTGTCTCTTTTCCCAGTCGATCCCTCACCGCAGTCCAAGACGACGAATACTTTCCGTCGTTCCTAACGGCTCTGCCATCGGCGCCCAAGACAAACGAGGCCCAGGAAAGCGCTCCCCGATCCCGCTCGGAATCCGATGTGCTCTCGTCCAAAGCCAAACAGCGACTGAGCTTTGCCGAGAGCTTATCGATGAACCGAAACCTCCAGCAGAGCGTCCAAGTGCCGGAGGACTCGCCGTTTGCTTGTGGCGGCAGCTACGAGAACCAGTTGGGTGCGCGTCGACGCAAAAACGCGCCATCACATCGTGCGACGGACGGGACGGATGCGCTGGACGAAGACGCACCGCCTCCACCGACGGCGTCGCTGCTGGATCCTGTTGGCTTTGCTGCAGCATCTCACAGTATGGACGACGATGGAGCTGCAGCAACGGCCGATGCCCGACGTCGGGCTGCAGCAGTGAGGTCGTCGTACTACCCGAACGTCCACAGCGAGGAGTGGGGACACGACAAACAGTATTGGGTCACAGTGTTTGGATTCCCACCAAGTGCGCGATCGTTCATCCTGCACCAGTTTCAGTCGGTTGGTGAAGTTGTGAACTACTCGAGTAGCACCGGTGGCAATTGGCTGCATCTGCGCTATTACACTCGACTACAGGCGGAGAAGGCGCTCAGCTACGACGGACGCACGCTCGCGAGCAGCATTATGGTTGGCGTGAAAAAGTGCTACCCGTCGGACCGAGACGCCCTTGCGCTTGACGAGAAGCCTACGTCGAGCTACTTTGGCGCGCAGACACGACCGAGTCTCGGATCGCGGGACTTGGAGGTTGACCCGACTGATACCGACATCATGCTGCCTCCGCCGCGCCGACAGGACTTGTGCTCAAGGGTGCTCGGCTATCTATTTAAATGGTGACGCAGCTCTCAGTTCACATCGTGTCGAAGTAGTTGCGGTGGGGGCACAGAGACGAGCAAGTCGATGGGGTCCCCCGCCCCCAACAGGCAACAAAAAGAAAAAGCACAACACAAACTCGATTGGTGCATCGGCAATGTGGCCACACGATGTTGGACGGCAAGAAGACAGACAGACAGACAGACGGACAGACGGACGTGTGCGCAGGCAGCAGCAACAGGTCGGGGATGCAGAGTGTATGCTCGAAGGGCAGTCAGTCAGTCAGTACGTGAGGCTTTGACTTTGGCTGAGCTGCAATTGATTGAGTGAGTGGTGATTGATTGCTGTCGGCTCTACGACTGAGCAGCGTAAACAAATGTCCACCCGCCTTGTCCCTTCCTTGCCCTATCCTCGTCATCGTCGGTGTCGTCGTCTCTTTTCATTCGTCGAAAATACACTTCTGCGTCCAGTGGACTCGTCTCGGCCGTCGTCAGTCGTCCAGTAAGTATCCGCTAGCACTCCTCGCGCCGCCTGTGGGTCAGCGCCGTCCGTCCGTCCGTCCGTTCGTCTCTTTCTTCGCTCGCTGCGAGAGCTATTGCCCACTGCTACTCCTGCTGCGTCATGAGCCTCCCGTCGATCGTCCCCCGTCTCCAACAAAAGGTCATGGAGCACCAGCTCGTCGCCAACCGTCCGAAGCTCGCGGCCCTACTGGGACACCCCGCCGGCCCCTTTACGGTGCACTTTTGGGCGCCCACCATCAAGTGGGCCATCTCCCTCGCGAACGTCGCCGACATGCGGCGCTCGCCCGAGTCCATTTCGGTCGCTCAGCAGACGGCGGTCACGAGCACAGGTGTCATCTGGTCGCGCTACAGCACTGTGATCACCCCCAAGAACTGGAACTTGTTCGCCGTCAACGTGTTTATGGCTGGAACGGGTCTCGTGCAGTTCTACCGCAAGTTCACGTACGACCCCAAGCAGACGGAGGCGAACGCACTCGTTGCAACGCCCAACTGAGTCCGATGTGGGAGTGCAGTAGTAGTAGTCGCAGTAGCAGTAGCAGGACGGGAAGCGAAGTCGTGCGCGGTCGGTACTTACTGACCTACGCACGAGACGCCAGCAACGAGACGACAGCTACGGGCTACTGACTGCAGCTCAGTCAAACGACAAGGACGGCGAGCACGCGTTGACGTGACAATTGAATACACTCGTGACGTTTAATTGACGAGAGAGATGCAGCGACTCGGCAGCACGCGCTGAAAGCAGGAATTGAACCCGCTCTGAAACAGCAAAGGGAACTGACTCACTGTGATGACTTTCTGTCGCGGCGATTCGACGCCAAGTTCTTTTGTCGATGAGAAGGCCGTCCGTCACTTCAACGTCAAAAGAGAAGTGGCAGATCGCGCGGCGCGGGCACAATGGCGCGGCGGATACATTGGGGAAGTTCGGTACTGTTGTATTGTGGTCATTCCCAGAAAGCCAATGTGTCCTCGAACGTTAGGGAATTGCTATCAAATGTGCTTTTCTTGCTTCGGTCCTTCACATGGTGACAAAACGAAGCAAGAAAAGCACATTCGAGAGGGGTTCTGGCACTGGCTATTCTTGTGATAAAAGCATCGGTACGGAGTTCATTAAGGCAGGCTGGCTCAATAGAGTTGATGTATTTACAGCGATATTCTGCGATGTTTGTGACCGGTTGCGATATCGTCCTGTCTTTTTTAGACAAAGTATTTCGGTCCCGTATCAATGCCCTTCTTTTCAAGAAAACGCTTTTTTCGCCACGCATTTCGATATTTCCACCATCTACAAAGATCCTTGTAAAAATAGGAATCACCTAACGTCGGCCTTTGATAGCAATTGCCCAGTCGGCCTTTCATCGCAACTGTTTACAGCATATTTCCATTACACGACCGACCACGCGGAAATCGATCAACGCGGCGCACGCACTTTTACTCCATCTCAGAACTGTGCTCTCACTTTTGCCAACGCATTTGCCAATCTTTGTACCAGATGTACCGCCCACGTCGTCACTCTGACAGCTTCTTCCTCTTGTGAGGCCTTCGCACTACAAGGCCACACTTGAGGTAATTGCCACGATCCGAAGACCAGACCCGCATGACGTTCACGGATCGAATTAGCTCATGGCGATTCCGATTCTGCACCCGATTGCCCAAACCACCAATGGCTGCAACGTAACGTGGTCTGCTTTTCGTTTCGGACCCATGTTGGCACATTCCACTCAATCGGCACATTCCGCTCAATCGGCACAGATGAGCTCAGTTTCTCGTCGCTCGGCATGTCCGGTGATATGTTTCAATCGCTTGGCGAGACTTTGTGCATTTCGTTTCTACAGATAGTCGATCCTCGTAGTCAGCTTTGGCCGTGATAAACGAGTCGCGAATTAGAATCCGTTTGCTTTTGGGCGTCCATGGCCAATGTATCAGTAAAGAAAGGTGTAACGAAGTCAATGTCGTGGACACACGGAGTATCGTGCACCAAAAATTCATACAGTGAATCGATGGGCCGTAGAGCTACAGAAAATTCGTGTGCGGTCGAGAGAAAGCTGAGCGGGAGATGCAGAGGATGCGAGCGAGCGAGCGAGCGACCTCGTGGCTGCTGCTGCTGCGTTACAAAGGCCGAGATGCACTCAGCGCGTTGTACCATGACGAGCTCAATGGACAGGATATCAAGTGTCGGAGGTAAATTGGTCATTTCTATTTATGGACAAGTCTAGGAAAGTACGGAACCAGGCGAAGAGGACCTGTCTTGGCCCCCCACACGTGTCTGCGGGTCGAACAGATGGCCGTCTGTCTGCGTTTAGTCGCGTTCTTAATCGTCTGCTCGTCGGCGCGATGGGCGTCTCCTGCCCACTGTGTCATGCTGACAATTGACGCGAAGAAAAGTGCTGCCCCGTTCGAGCACTCTCACTACTTGTGCAAAGCGGTAGTACCGATAGGAGAACAACATACCACGACCTGATTTTGTCTTTGGGGTCAAGTGCACGCGCGCTACGCACTGGTCTCAAAATCTACAAACTCTTCTTCGACTGTTGATGTCACACTTCCCCTACGTTTCTGCTTCAATGGAACAGACGCGTGGCTGACTTAAGAGAGAGAGAGAGAGAGAGAGAGAGAGAGAGAGAGAGAGAGAGAGAGAGAGAGAGAGAGAGAGAGAGAGAGAGAGGCAGACGTGTCTGTGTGTCAACCCTTGAAAGTTGAAGGATGTGGGATAACCTCAGGCCTGGGTTAGCAAAGCCCATTCCTCGTGCAAGTCCGGTGGTTGTACGGCGCTTAGCACCGTACACGACGGCTCTCTCGGTTGTCTGTCTAGAAGTTGCTGACTCAATCGCAAACGTGCTCTTTGTATCTTCGCATCTGCTCTTCGGTACATGCACACCCACACTTGTGCACATGTTTGGTCCTCGTCCAAAGGATCTCAAACCAAATGTTCCTTGCCCACCACGGAGAGTCCCGGGGCATGTCTGCTTGCACAAGTATGAGAAAGAAAGCGGTGCAAATGGACCAACTCCCAGCGTTCTCCCGTCCAGTGGCACGTGGGCAAGACCAGCAAATGTGTTCCGGGTCTCCTTTACCCCCGGTACCAGCTAGTGGAGTTTTGGACAACTGGGGATAGCTGACCCCAACTTGAGACGAGTGGCTGACCTGCAGCTTCCAGTGCTTCCGTATCATAATCATGACCGCCGTTTTCTCACTGCTCCTCGAATGAGTCACTAGAGGATCCCGTGACTGGGGCATTAGCATTCATACGGCGCTGGACCTCCACGCTATACACACTTGCGGTTGGCTCTTCAAATCCCAGGCAACAGTACGACTTGAGGTGTCCAAGTTGAACGTAGGCTGATGTGCCCGGCGGACAGCCGAATCAGTCGTCCACAAAGACGTCCGAGTCCCACGTAGGAACTTGATACCACGAGCAGACCGCAAGCTGCGTTACCATCGGACTCCCCCATCGCACGGACCGCCAACGAGTGCGTACGTGAGCGCGAAGTGAGCTCTTCACTTTTCATTTTGCCACGACCAAACGTCATCCTCAAGACTCTCACGCGCGTCCAAGTCGACAACGACACACTCATGCGCAGCCACTATCGCGCTCTGTTGGCGCTGGCCGTCCTGTTCGTGGACATCAACACGGCTCTAGCATTGGCGCAGACGGAGTCTACAAAGGTGACGTCGCTGGACTCGCGACTACCCGATCGCCTGCATGCAACCAAAGACGACAGCGATGTGTCCCGCCAGCGCTTCCTACGGACGAGAGACGCGAATGCGCAGCGTATGGAGGAGAGAGGCAATTTCGGAGCGGCGGTGGTGGAGAAGGCTGAATGGGCCGGCAGGATCCTCAAGTATACTGGATGGCTTACAGCGGGCAAGCATCCCGACTGGGTGAAAGATGCTCATCCTGAACATTGGGTGGGATACTATCGATTCTGGGCAAAGGCTCACGTGAACGACTTGTAGTCAGTCAGTCCACGGTGCTGTCATGTGCGACGCTGTGGTTTGCGTCCAGTCCCGTGCTCTGCACTTTGAGCCTTTCAACTTCAATAAAGTCGACGATACCGGAAGTTCTGTGTGTGTGTTTTGGCTCGTTGGCGTAATGATTGACAATCGCTGTACATCCTCTTCATCCGAAACAGAGCCGTCTGTTTTTTTACAAACGCGGGACGTTCCGGTGGGGTCCGTTTCTTCGGGTTACCCATATGGTCGTGACATGTTTTGTGCTTTGTTTAGGACGCTGTCGTACCCGCCGCGTTTTAGACCGATTGCAAACGCACGCGACCACCAGTCGAAACTCCCATGAGTTACTTCAGTATCATCAACAAACGACGTTGTCGACCACTTGTTACAAAACGCGCCACTAGTTGTGTACCGACACGTCTCGCTCGATGCCGCAGCTGTTCTCTTTTTGTTGTTGTGCTCTTGGTCAAATCTGCGCTCGTGGTCTTTTTTGACTGACACGGGACCAAAACACGACGGATTCGTCGATAGCGAGCGGATCGATTGCTTTTTTGGTCCCGTCTACTTTCGTACCACATCGGTGCCCCGTGGCGTGCAGAGACACTCGATTTCATCCAATCAGCGTGCACCGTTTGCCCCCGCCACTCCCCTCCACCGACCTCTTCCCCGCGCGATGGACCTCAAGCTGCTGCAGCTGCTGCGGACAACTCGTCGCGTGGCCGCACGCGCAACGGGCGCTGCCCCACTGTCTGCGCGACGGCCATCTGCTCGTCCGCTAGCGGCTGCCGTCAATGCCCCTCGTCTGCGCTTCTCGAGCAGCACAAGTGGCGACAGTGACGCGACAAAGACGAGCGCAGACGTTGCGGCCTCGAAGCTCTTTGCGTCGAGCGAGTCGGACTCGGACTCGGACTCGGATTCCGACTCGGATTCCGACTCGGATTCCGACTCGGACTCGGACGACGGCACAGAGGAACTCGTTGAAGAGGTGGAGGAGCTGCTGCCGATCGACGAAGACGGGATCTCGAACGTGGAGCGACGTCGTCGTCTCGACGCTTTCTTGGCCCATAACGCCGAGTACTTTGACGAGGAGCGATGGGGCGCGCAGGACGGAGACAAGTGGTTTGGCTTTGACGGCGACATTGACGCCGTGACGGACGAGGGCGTTCCCACGTGGCTGCAGTCGGTCCGCAACATGGTGAGCGTCGAGGAAGAGCGGGCAGCGCGCGCCAAGTCGGCTCGGATCGCCTTCCACGAGGCCAAGAACAAGATTGTGCGCGTGCAAGAGCTCGACGCACAGGGACGCGCCTATGGCACTGGTCGTCGCAAGACGAGTGTCGCGCGTGTGTGGGTCAAGCCAGCGGCCCAGCCGTTTACAGGCTGCATCAGGGTGAACAAGAAGGACCTTGTCGACTACTTTGTCCGGGACACGCATCGCGACGACGTGCTGAAGCCTTTCCAGGTCATTGAGCGCATGGGCGGATTCGATGTGTACTGCACGGTCAAAGGAGGCGGGATGACGGGTCAGGCTGGCGCAGTGCGTCACGGCATTGCCCGTGCGCTCGAGAAGTTTGACCCGGAGCTGCGTCCGGCGCTGAAAAAAGCAGGACTGATCACGCGTGATCCACGAATGGTCGAGCGGAAGAAGGCTGGGCAGGCCAAGGCTCGCAAGAAGTTCCAGTGGGTCAAGCGATAGATGCCGTGCAACAACACAGCGCTTGGTTTGTGGATGGATGTGCGTCATGGGGAAGAAGATCACTTGCGACGCTCGTGTCGATACCGAGTCCGTCATCTGCGCAACGCGTTTAGTGCTACAACCGCCTTTGCAGTTTGTGTGCCGATTGTGCGCCCATGCATTCTCCATCCATTCATTCTCCTTTATTGCCATACATATGTGTGAAGAACGCTGAGCTTGCAGGTCCCACTGAGCTACTCGCCCCTTCTCGCCCCTGGTCCTCCTCCTCTCTCTCTCTCTTACGATGAATAGTAGTAGTAGTAGTAGTAGAGTAGGGCGCGCTACAGCGCCATGGACGCCTCCAGCACTCTCAAAGCCTCCAGTTCTTCTTCGTCTGCATTGCCCACCACGTTAATGTTCGACTCGACGGCATGGGTCGGCACATCGGGCAGTTTGTATTCCGCCGTCGGCAGAGGCGGTGCTGCCATCGGAGAAGCCGCAGCGGCAGTAGCAACCGACGTAGACGGCACCGATGCCGGCGTTCGAGCCGCTTCGGCTGCTCCCCGTGCAGCCGCAACCGGCTCCAGCATCTTCTCTTCGAGCGCGAGCTCCTCCATCTCGCGCAGCTCGTCCTCGAGCTCGTCGTCGTCGTAGAGCTGCGAGCCCAGCGGCTGCGAGATGGCCCGTCCAATCTCGTCGGCCGTCGCCATCTCCTCCTGGATCTCGTCCATGATGTTGTCCACCTTGTCGACGTTCATCTGCCCGTGGATCGCCTTCATCTGCTCGGCGCCCGACCGCAGCGCCGTGAACGTCTCCATGTTGACGTGCGCGCTCTCGAGCGTCATCACCTGCGTCTCCAGCGTCATGCGCGCGCCCTGGAGCTTTTCGACCTCGGCCTCGAGCATCTTTTTGCGCTTGAGTGCGAACAGCGCGCCGCGCTTGTCCTTGGCCGCGCTCTTCTGCTTGGCCTCTTGCAGCTGCAGCGCAATCTTCTTGACAATGTGCAGCTCGCGCTTCTCGAGCGACTCGAGCTGCTCGCGCAACCGGCGGATCGTGTCGGCGGTCGCGACGGGGCCCGGGCGCGCGGGCGCAGCGGCCGACTTGCGTCCAAAGAGCCTCATCGGTCGGTCGGTCGGTCGGGTGGGTGGGTGGGCGTCCGCTTTGGTGTGGTGGAGTCGGCGAGAAGGCTGGCGCTGAAGTGACGAGGAAGTAGCGCGACCAGCGGCCCTCGGCTAGGGAATACGAGGAAAAGTAGTCGCAGCAGGCGTCGTCACGTGGTAGTCGAGATCGCAGGGGTAGTCACGATAGGAGTCGCGACCAAAGTAGTACTGTTGCAGTGTTCGCGTGCCCACAGTGCTGCGACTACGACTACTACTACTACTACTATCGAGTCCAGTGTAAGATACGTTTTTATTTGCGTCGGCGAAAGAACACGACGCTGGCCAACGGCTCTTTGTCTCTTGACTCGACTTAACTATCGCCCGATCATGGCGCACGAGTGGAGCGTATTCATGCGGCAGCCCGTTCTGCCGCGGTATAGCAAACAGCGTAACTCGTGGTTACGTCAGGTTACGCTCTGGCGGGTCCTCCTGCTCGGCCTCGTGGGGTGCCTCGCTTATGGGTACACGCAGCTCCTCGTGCGGTACGGCAGCATCTCACCTGCAGCGACAGCGCTCTTCACGACGCCGTACGACGGCCGCGCCGCGGACGACCGTCCGCCGCCGTCCCCTCCGTGGCGTCCGCCGTTCCGCGTCGTGGTGTCGCTCACGACGACGCCGAGTCGGCTGGCACACGTGATGGACAGCGTGCGCTCATTGGTGGCGCAGAGTCTGAGACCGGATCAGATTTACGTCAACATCCCCACCGGTGCGATGAAACGCCACCCCGCGCGCCAGTACAACAACACAGAGATCCCGTCAGAGCTGATGCACATCGCCCCCTCATTGGTGCAAATTAACCGCTGCGTCGACGACGGCCCGGCGAGCAAGTTACTGGCCACACTGCGGCTCGAAACGAATGCGTCGACACTGATTATCACGCTCGACGATGACTTTGTGTACCCCTCGGAGCTCGTCGCGGCGCTCGCGTGGGAAGCGCTCGCCAAGCCGCACGACGCGCTGGGGGTCTGTGGATGGGGTATGCTGCCGCTGTGGCATCAGGTGGGCGTTGTACCGGCCTACGTGCCCTATTTCATGCGTCCGAACGGCCGCTATGTGGACATTCTGCAGGCGTGTTGCGGCAACGCCTATCGGCGCGGGTTCTTCTCCGACGTCGAAGCGCTTGCGGACATCCCGCCGGTCTGTGTGACAGTCGACGACGTGTGGATTGCGGGCTACTTGCGCGTGGTGGAGCACCGACGCAGTGCTTTGATCAGCAAGCGACTTGACCCGACCGACGCCGAGTGGAAAAAGGAGGAAGCGCGCTCGTCGGACCGACCGATGACGCTGTCGAGCTTCAACCACGAGCACCAGATACACTACAAGTGCGTGCAGGCGCTGGAAGACAAGTTTGAGCGACGGTGGACGCGCAATTACGAAGACCAGGCGGAGGAAAGCAGGTGGATCAGGGGACCAGAGCGCGACTCGTAGCAGCCGGGGGCAAGGGCAGCAGCAGCAGTGTCCAGTACTGTCTGCACAGCAATTGCTGGTCCCGTTTCGACGCGTTCTTGTGCATGCGTCCGGCCACTCGGTCCGCATTTGTTGCGGTACCGCTACGACGTGTGCCAGCGCTGACAGCGTCATGGATATGGATGCAAGCCGTCTGTTTCCATTCGTCTTTGGCCAGTGGTGAAGCCATGGCAACAGGCCAATCGCCTGCTGTCTACAACTTGGCCGAGTCTCAGAGTTGCAGTCAGCGAGAAGACAAGTCAAGCGAGAAAAACAGATCCATTATCTCGACACTGCGGCATCAGTAGATTTCCAGCAGCAGCAGTAGCAGCAGCAGCAGTAGCAGCAGCAAAGGACTACTCGTTGCCGTTGTGAATCGCGCCAGCCTCGTCGACGGACGATATTTGGCTGCGAGTATTGACAAACCACAAGCGTGAGATCTCTTGCACAATGCATGCGACGATTGAAAGAGCGTACGTACATCCACTTCTTGTCGAGCGTTTCTTTCCACAACGTCACTTTGTGGTCGCCCGAGGACACGGCGAGCACGTTGCCAGTGACCGACCAGCTTACACGCCACACCGACGCGTCGAAGATGTGCAGCAGCTCGCGCTTCCACGCGCTGTCGTCTACAGTCTGCGACCAGACGTACACGTGCTTGTCCTCAGAGCAACTGGCAATGAGGTTGACGGGAAGCCCCGTGCTAGGAGCCCACGCCACGTCACGCACCCAGTCGCTGTGCGCAGGAGCAGAGCTCAGCTCCTGCTTCGTCCAGTCTGTTTCGCCCTCCACAAGGCTCCAGATCTTGATCGTCTTGTCGCACGACGCCGTCACTACGCGGCGGATCGGGCCTGTCGGGCCCTGCGAGCCAACCGAGTGGAACGGCGCCCAGCTCACAGCATTGCAGCCAAGCGCACTGTCCTTGAACTGACTCACGCTCCAGCCTTCCGCTGCAACCACCACCACCACAGAAGAAGAAAAACGCAACAGCAATAGCAGCACCAGCACCACCAGGCTCGAGTCAGTCTTGGATCTCGACAACCTCTGCAATCGACGTACGCGAGTAACTGAGGATCGAGACGATCCCATCGGCCGAAGCACAGGCGAGCACCAGTCCATACTCGTGCGGCGCCCACGCAATGCTATTGACCGAGGACTTGTGGAAGGCGTGGACGTACGCCTGCGTCCATTGGTTCAGACTCTGCTCGCGGTAGATAATGACTTTGCCATCGTACGAGCAGGCAGCCAGCAGCGCACCGAACTTGGGGTGGGCCCACGACACTTGCCACACGGGACCGTCATGGCTACATTGTCGACCCCACACCAACGTGACGGTATCAGATCCGACATCACGACGGCATCAGTCGATCGAAGCGAAAGTGAGAGTCCGTACCCTGTCAAGATCTGCTCATTGTTCTGCACGTCGCCCGTGACATCGTAGACTTTGATCGTCCGGTCCGAAGAGCACGTGGCGAGGCGCTTGCCATAGTAATCCAGCTGCGCGTCGTGCTGCAGTAGTGACATGGGTACACAAAAAGAGGCGTTTAGAAGATCAATTGCGACCGTAAGTGGTCAATTTCGAGCCGTTGGAGGCGCAAGAAACGCGAGAAGCGAGCGGGAGTGTCAAGGGACATCACGTACGATCATATCTTCATGCTGCGTGTCGATTGAGATGATGGGGGCGCTCATGATCGCCGACGACGGAAGGGGGACGATGGACCGAAGGGCACGTTGACTCGCTTTGTTTGTGGGCAGCGCGAGGCAGTTGATGTGGCGCACACCGATGCGGGAGGAAGGTTTTTTTTACGATACTCGTGTGGACCACACGTGCAACGCACCACTGCATGTTTGGGTGAATGAAAAAGCCAACTCGTGACGAAACGACGACGGTATAAACGAAATCGAAATAGAAAAACACGCAAAGGTCGTCGTTGAAACTACGAAAAGCAGCGCCGCCGTGTCGCCTCGCCTAGCGACTTGCAGTCACCACACCTCCTTCTGCTGCTGCTGCTGCTGCTCACCAGCCTGCGTTCTCGTCCTCTGCTGGCACGACCATGACGAGATTGTACCAGCCAAACTCCTTCCAGTTGAGCTGGAAGAGCAGCACCCACGAGACGAACAGCACTGTCCAGAAGCAAAAGCCCATAAAGGACCGTCGCACCCCTGTAACAAACAAGCAGCCGACTCGTGAGACCGGCACCAGAGACCGCAGTTCCCACGCACACACACACACAAAGACACACAGACACAAAGACAGACAGACAGACAGACAGACAGACAACAAGCAGTTGCAAGTGTGACGTACACAATGTAATGGCCGCATCGATCGTCGGATCGAGAAACTGTTTGCGGTAGAACACGACGTTGACAAAGTGTAGCCAGGGCAGGAACACCAGTCCGCCGAGAAACATCTTCTTGGCCACGACGTGGTCCGCCTCTTTGTTCAAATTGCGCGTAAAGTTGCCCCGGTTGTTGCTGTTGTCTTCCGCACCAGCAGCTCCGCCAGCAGCACCTCCAGCAGCAGTAGCAGCAGTAGCGTCATGTCGCGAAGCCTCTTCCAGCACGGGCGTGTCCGTCACAGACTCCATCGGCTCGCGTCTCGCCATGTCGGTCGCGCGTCTCGTCGACTCGACTGAACAACTGACTGAATACACTGTTCCACCGGTGGTCCCACTAAAGACGTTTTTACCGCTTGGTTTGTTTGCTTTAAGCGACGAAACGAAGAACCAGAAGCTGTTCCTGCCATCGACAGCCGTTTCTAAGCGCGATAGAAACGCGCCACCGCCATGGCAGGCACGCGGCTCCAGATCGTCGGCGCGTTCGCGCTGTTCGCGCTGCTGGCGGCGCCTGTGGCGTGGCACTTGACACGCGTCGAGCGTGTGCGTCTCCCCCTGTCGCGCATCCAGCAGCTGTCGTGGCAGACGTCGCGCTTCGGCGGTCCCGAGCACTTCCAAGTCGACGTCTACAGCTTCAGCTCCTCGTCGCGGCGATCTTCGCTCGGTTCCAGCAGCTCCAATGTCGCGTATTTTACGCGTAACTTACAGTTGAGTGCACAGGACAGAGAGACGATGCACGCGTCCGTGCGATCGGGACCGCAGGCCGCCGATGACGCGCTCGAGACGCTCGTGCCGACGCTGGACAAGCGCTTTCGGGTGTTTTTACTGTGTGATGAGAACATGGCAACGAGATTAACTCCATCCCTGACGGTCGGAAAGTACCGCCATGCGTGGTCCTTCCAGTGTCAAGTGGAGACTGGCGACGCCATGCACATGGCTATCGAAAAGCTGATGCAGAGCCACGTCTACCCTCAATTGGGCGACAAGAAAAGCGGAGAGAGAGACAGAGCAGCAAAGACTGCACGGAGAGCGCTGCAGTATCGGCTACGCTTTTCGCTGTTGAAAGAAAACCCAATGACGCCGTGGAATGAAGAGCTACAGACGCTAGTGGATTCGTACATGGGCCGATTTGTGCAGAAAGTCGAAGCTGTGGCCGACTTTACCGTCGAAACAGAGGTGGTGCACTATGCGAGACTGGCCAAGGAGATCCAGCCAAGTGCAGAAGAAACGGCGGCTTTCTACATTGACGCTGACGATCTCAAACATGTACGTGCAGGCTTTTGTGATGAAACGCAAGAAGCAGGACAAGAGGGCTAATGTGTTGAATGATGGCTATCGTCATTGTGCTGTCCAGTTCAAAAGCGCAAACGACTACTTGGGCGCATCGGTACTGGACGATCGAGAGCAAGTGCTGCACTTTATGGCTGCTCTTCCCGACAGTGTGCACGCTCCGTTGTATATTCGCTCGAGGGATCAAGAACAGAGCGAAAGGGGGCTGGCTACGTCATTTGAGCTGCCACAGTGGGGCATTGCCGTCATCCTGAACCCTTTTGCGTTCACGTGCAATTCGACTGGCGACGCATCGAGCAGCGATGCAGCTGCGCTCGATATCAAGAACCGCGAGCTACAGCGCGTTATGGGTCTCTTTGTCTCGGAGTTCCGCACACTGCTTGGCCTTCCGTCGTTCTTGTATCGGCAGCAAGAAGAGGATGCAGCAAGTGGTGGCGTCTCGAGAAGGCAGCTTTTGTTTCTACCTTCTCCAGCGGATGGAGTTGCAGAGTGGGAGCTGGATGTTGTCATGAGGGAACGGTTTGCTACGCTCATGACGTCGGCGATCGAGACGCTCCGGTCGACTGTCGAGCTCGTGGAAGCGCTGCCGGAGCTGAGCGTCTTGGAGCGCGTACAAACGAGAGTGGAGACAGCGGTGGCAAGGCTCGAAGCCATTCTGTGTGATGCCAGCAGTCGAGCGCAGCTGCACGACTGCGTGGACGCGTCGGACCTGCATCGTCTGCTGGCAATGGCCCGTCAAGCATCTGAGATGACGGACGCTGCGTACTACGACCACACGATGATCCGTCAGCTCTACTTTCCACAAGAGCAAATGGTGGGAGTGTATGCTCCGCTCGTGGCTCCGCTCGTGCTGCCGTTTCTACTGGGCCTCGTGCGTGAGCTGAAGCGGTACAAAGCGAAACGAGCGGCGAAACGAGCAGCGACAAGGCCCAAGACGGCGTAGGCGTCTGTAAAGACAAATGTGCAGCAGCCCTGTGCTCGTGCCAACTTCCGTTGCGGAAACAGCCACAAGGGCAAAAGTTGCTCGACGCAGTTCTTCTGTCCGCGCACAGTGTTTTCGCCCACTTGTCAACTTGCAACGCGCGAGGCAGCGAACAGACCACGCGGGCGAGCCACCGTTAAGTTCGGTTTCTTCGAGTAAGTAACCCCTCCACGTCCCGGCCGGCCGTTCGTTCACCTGCTCCCTCTGTCTTTTCGTTTCCAGCACGTGCCCAGCCCGATGACTTGTAAAAGTATCGATGCGTACCCCGCGCACCTAAGGAGATCCCCCCGAATGGGTTCTCAGCGCTCACGCTCCCACTTGTGCTGCTCTGTGCTCGCGTGTGCCCTGTGTCAGACAGACCCACGTCCCCCTCCGCCCGCCCCGTCGCGCCCCTCGCCACGCCGCACATGGCCACGGACGAGTCGCTCTTTGGCGCGTCAATGGACGGCCTCCCGGCGTTCTTCACGAGCGGCCGCGTGGACGACACGAAGTACGAGTCGCTCCTGGCCGACCTGCGCGCGCACGACCTCTTGGGGCCCGTCGAGAGCGGCGCGCAGACGGGCGACGCCAGCAGCAGCGCGTCGCTGTTCTTCAATGACGCGTTCTCGGCGGCGTTCATGGGCACGTTCCAGTCCACTGCACGGGCAGCAGACGACAGAGCCGCCGGCGGAGCCCCTGGACGGCCGCCGCCGGGTCTCGCGGCGCCAGTGGGGCCGGTGTCGCCTTCAGAAGACCTCAAGTGGGCCCGCGGCCAAGCGGAGTTCTCGAGGCTCGAGGAGCAGTTCCAAGGGACAACTGCTACTGCCACTGCCGGCGGCGGCGGCGGCTCTGCAACAGGCGGACGGGCGCCGCCGCCCGGTCTGAGCCTGGAGCAGGACCCGGAGCTGGACGAGAGTCAGGTGCCCGGTCTCCGCGGCCTCGGACTGGACGACGACGAGGCGTCGGTCGCTGGTCAAGAAGATGCTGCTCCGCCACTCAAGCAGACGGCGCACGCACCTCCTGGCGCTGCGTTAGGAGGGCCTCAGCCACCGGACCACCGGCCGCCGCCGGGTGCGTGGAACGCGCCGCAGCTGGCGCCGCCAATGGCGCCTGCCAATCCCCACCAGCAGTTCATGCCACGGCCGCCGTCGCACATGCAAGCGGGACAAGCTCCTCACCCCATGTACAGACAGGGCGCACCCATGCTGCCCATGCCTCTGCCGATGTACGGACGTGGACCGCCGCCTGTTTCGTTGCGACCGCCGTTTCCGGGCCCCCCGGGTGCATTTGGGCGCTACGGTATGCCACATGGGCCACCGCACATGCACCCGCCTGCTTTCAAGATGATGACTCCGCGGGATGTGAACTTTGTGGTGCAGCAGCAGATGAAGTGGCTGCGCTCGAGCGACCCGTTCAGTGATGACTACTACTTCCACAACTTTATGCAAAAGCGGACACGTGCAGGGGTGCCTGGTCGCCCATCTGTCCCGCTGCCGTCGTGGAAATTGCAGCATGTAAAGTCGGTCGATCCTCGAGATGTACAGCGCGCAGTCAAGTCGCGCAACTGGGAGTCAGAGTACCATGTGCTCGGACGCAACACGCAGAGCAGTTTGTACCGCCCGAAGCAGTCGCTCAACCTCGCGGATACCGAAAGGAGTAGCTCGCCCCGTGTTTCTTCACCGACAGACACTGAGGGTGCTGAGCAAGCACCATTGAGTACCGACACCGATGGCGAGAAGACTGCACCCTCCTCTTCTTCTACGACAGCCGAGTCCAGCAGTGAAGTTGCCAGCTCTGTGCGTGTGCGTGGATCGAGTCCTGGCGCCCAGACTGTGGCTGCGGAAGCCACCACCTCCAAGGTGCTGCGAATGAGCAAAGATGCGAGCCGCAACTCGGTATTTGCCAATGACACGTGGAACCTCCGCCTCCAGTTGGACCGCGGCATGCAATGTCTGCTGTCTCTACAGGACGCGCGCCACTTGCTGGATGCTCGCGGGATCAACGTGCAGCAGTTCCACTCGATGAGCGAAGCTGAAATGGATCCGGCTCTTGTTGAGTTGCGCTCACGGACAACGTCGCTGTTGCTGGAATTGGCGGCTTTGCTTGGTGTCAATGTGATTCAGCCGAGTGACGCGGACAGTGACGCAGCGTCCTGTGGTGTCATGAGCTGCGACGTTCAGCAGTTGCTAAAGATGCTGACAGCTGTCAAGGGGAAGATGTTGGTGAGTCGCGCCCTGCCGCTGTTGCACCCGTCAGCCCGCTTTGTCCTCTTGCCTCATCTCGTGGATCAGCTTTTGTCTGGCATCGGAATCGATCATGGACGCCGCGTGGAAGCAAGCGATGCAGGTGACGATCGTCTGTGCCAGACGCTGGTACTCTTGTTGCTGTATGTGCCGCCGACGCCGCCTGTTGAGCTGCTGACTGCTTGTCTCCAGCGTGCACTGGTTGGCCACGAGGTGCAGTCGTTGTCTGTCGTGTTGCACGACCGGGCGCGTGCGGAGGCTTTCCAGGCACTATTGCAGCGCGGCGGATCGGCTGTACAGCAGTTGACGGAGACTGAAGGAGTGAACGCTGAGCACGCGCAAAGCGTCAAGCAGGAGTGGGAGCACCACCAGAGTTTGTTTGTGCACTTGGCCACAGCTGTCAAGCAAGCGGCCTGAGCGATGTTGCTGATTGCTTGCTGTATCTCCAGCACCAGTGTTTGCTGACTTCTCTTGACAGCAGCTAACATCAATGCATGTTTCGTTTTGCTTCGTTTCTTGTGCGTGATGGACGCCACGGTGTTTGTTTGTGTGCAGCCTGATCGATGGCAGGATGTTCCAGTACAAGCAGCTGCTATTGTTGACGGTGGAACATGGCCGTGGCCGAGGAAACCCGACAGCGGCATTATGGATAATGCAGAGCGCTTGTATGCTGCTTGACTCTAGTATTTACGCAGTCTCTTTAATATGCTTCTTGCTCGCGAGCTGCCGTCACTTCTCTACATGGCCGAACTGCTTTGCTGCTTGTCGACACAGTTCGCTACTGCTGCTGCTGCTGCTGCTGAGATGGAAGCTGAGCCTTTATGACCTCCTGATACAGCAAATGCTTCAGCGTCTGCGGATCGTACGACACTTGCGCGTAGTCAAACTGCGTGAGCTTCGTCGCCACCTCGGCGTGGCATGGCTGCTCCAGCTGCGGGTCGCGCCACTGACTCAAGTATGGGTGTTCGAGCGCCTCTGCGGCTGTGATGCGCTTCGCCGGGTCAAACTGCAGCAGGCGGTCCAGCAGGTCGAGGCCGTCCGGGTTGGCTTCTGGGAACACCTGCACCCAGTCCACCTTGGGGATCTTCTGGCTCTGAATCAGGAACTGACGTCCAGCGTAGCGGCGCGCAACGGGATTGTCGCAGAAGCTGAAGGTCGCAGGTGTACCTACGATGTCGACGATAACCTTCAGCTGATCCACATACGACGTTCCGGGAAACATGATACGGCGACCCAATAGCTCGGCAAAGATGCAGCCAATTGACCACATGTCGATGGCTTTCGTGTACGCATTCGCCAGCAACAGCTCGGGGGCACGGTACCATCGGGTCACCACATACTCCGACAGTCCTTCTGCCAGGTCCCGATCGTTTGCATGCCGAGCAAGCCCGAAATCGCAAATCTTGATCCGGCAGTCCGAGTTCACTAGGACGTTGCTCGGCTTGATGTCGCGGTGCAACACGTCCACAGAATGCAGGTAGTGAATGCCACATATCATTTGGTACAAGAAATACTGCACCTGGTCGTCGCTTAGACTCTCCTTCGAGTGAATGATGCGACACAAGTCCGTCTCCATGAGTGGCTGGATGATGTACAAATCCTCAAAGTGCTCATAGTCCAGTGGCCGCTGCAGCTCGTGGAAGCCCATGAGACAGGGATGCGTGCCAATCTCACTCATGAGCTTGATCTCACGCAGAGCCAGTAATGCCACCTTGGGATGCCTCAGAAACTGGCCCAGCTTCTTGATTGCAAACGTGCCGCCGTTCACAAAATCGCTCGCTGCAATCACTTCACCGTACGTGCCTTTTCCCACAACTTTCACCATGCGGTACTTTTCTGCCAACTGATATCGTACGCCGTTGATGATGAACTGGTGCATGACATCTTCTCCAGGAGGCGAAAACTGCTGGGCCAACTTCGTGAACGAGCGGAAACTGGTGCGCGCCGATAAATACTCGTGCGGCAAGAGCGATGCAGCGTCAACACTGCCATTGTCGGAGCAGAAACTATCCCTGTAACTGTGTCGGATGCCCGACATCGAGGATCGATGCGAGACTGATCGATGCGACATGGACGAGATGGTGAGCCCCAGCAGCAGCTTGCCAAAGAAACTCTGGTGATCGTTCGATAGCACGTAACACTGCAAGTCGACTGCTGGTACGCCACCGCAGCTACTCTTTCTACGACTTCGTCGACCCATCAATCGACTCGAGATAGTTCCACCAGCACTGCTACTACTGACGCCATTGCTACTGTTCAAGTAGCTGGCGAGGTTCACGTGCGTACGAGCAACGACCTCGTGGTTCGAATTACGGCAGCACTCAACAAGCAGCACACTGTTGTCGTCACGAGACAGTCGATCAAACTGTAGGAACAAATCCTGCTCATAATTGTACGACCACGATGGCGCGAGTTCGCTGCAGGGTGAGTCGGTCGGACATTCGACGGGAGCAGCCGCCCGCGACTGCGCTTCTGTATGCCACACGTCTTCAAACTCGTTTGTATCCAGAGAACAGCGCACAAAGAATTCATCTCCTTGCAGCTCCCGTGAGTGAACGTCTGTGATTTGGCTCAAGTGAATCGACACGACGTATCCGCCGACGACAGATTCACGAATGCGCTCGGCTAGCGATGGCAAGGTCAGATTCGTCGTGCACCCGGGCGCTTTAAACACCACACTGGAAGCCACGACGTCGCCAAAAATCTCCCAGCGACTCACACGGCCCCCGTCGTCGGGCTTAAAGTACAGCTTGTGCGTCCACTGTTGCACAAACGTCGTCTGGCAATAGCGCACCTGCATCGTCTCGCGTCCAGAGATGATGACAACACAGTGTCGGCGGCAGGCTCGACCATTGACGTCCGAGGAGCTGCTCTTGTGCTCGTGTTCCTCGTTGCCGTCCGGGTCCTCTTCGATCTGAATGCTCTCGACAATAAACTGCTCCACTTGAACCGACTGCGACAGCCTCGAAAAGTACTCGAGCACGCCGCCAAAGCCGCGGTATTTTCCTTCAAACGGCACCATGGGCAAGTAGTTGCTGCGCAAGATCACGTCGGACTTTAGCAGCGAGAAAAAGCGCACAAGCACGTGGTCCATTGGTGCCGCCACGTCCGTCTTGGCCAGCGGCTGGTCGGGCAACACTGGCACGAACGACGCCGTGGCCTTCTTGCCCGTCGACGTCACACTGGCCCGGTCGCTGTCGTCCAGCGTCGATCGCGGCCCCGACGTCGTCGACAGCGCGGCAGCAGACGACGGCGACAGGGCCGTCGGCACCGCGTCCGTCTCTTCAGCCGTCACGCGGGCGCACAAAGCCGCGTAAAAGTACTCGTAGCCCCTGTAAAAGTCGACAACATTCGTCCGCAGGTGCTGCACAGCTGCGTGCACGTGGCCCGCGACGTCGTGGTCGGCAATGGCATTCGCAACAAACTGCAGCCACACGTGTTTGCTCGCCTCGGACGTCGTGCGGAAGTGCAAGTGGTGGCCCTTGTGCGTCGCCAGCGTGAAGCGAAACGTCGAGTCCACGAGCGACTTGGCGCCACGCCGCACGTGCGACTCGCCCGCCTCGGCGCTCGCCATAGCCGACCGCGTGGGGCTCGGCGTCGAGCCCCCTGGCGAGTGGGCCTGCGGCGGCAGCTGCTGCTTCGCCACGTCCCACGCGGTGACGAGCACGACGCGGTCCGAGAAGCCGAATTTGCCCTTCTTGATCTTCGACTTGGCGTTCTCGCGGCGCGCGTCGTCCTGCGACAAGTAGCAATAGAGCGACCGCCGGCGGAGCACAAAGTAGTACGTCTCCCAGTGTTTCAGCCAGTCGCTGCGCTTCTGGAGGTACCCCTCCCAGTGGAAGCGCAGCGGGACGTCGTGCGGCGGCGCAGCGGGTCGCCGCGCCGACGTGGACAGCTGCGCAGGGTCCGCGGGGTGCGCGGACGGCCGGGACATGAGGCGACGTGCAGCGCTCTTCCTCGGCGAGCGGCGACGGAGCTCCTCGCGCGGGTGGGGTGGGATGGATCAGTTTCAACAGGCTATGCAGGAACGCAGCGAGGGGGGGATGGCCGTGGACGGCGAGGCGAGAACGAGTTGGACGGGGTATGCGTTGCTACGGTCGGCTCGGCCGCCCGGGCACACTACGGGGCCCGTGTTTGCGAAAGGCATAAACACTCGCATGCGATGCTTCGAAACCAGCTGTTGAAAAGGCGAGCGGGCGAGGGATACATATATAGGTTGACAGATACTTAGTTAGGAGGAGCAGGAGCAGGCGGAGGAGGATGCGTTGCGCGCGAGCACAGCGGGCGTCATTGCTTCTTCGACGGGCGAGCGTCGTTGTGCTACGTGGTGAGTACTACTTTTTAAGAGGACGATGCCGAGTCCACATGTCACTGCTGCTGATCGGCAACTTTCGACAGCCCGGCTCAGTCCATGGAACGGCCGACTTGTGGCCGAACAGAACCAGGGCATGCAGTGTATACTTAGACGAAAAGCGGTGGACTCATTGCATCGTCTACGTGTCGTGTACATGTCACACGGGGCATCGAAAACACGTGCTGATCTTCGTGCTGGTCAAAGATAGGATTGGGAGCTCCCGGTTCAGCGCCGTTACCTCTACAGAGTAATAGTCACTCATCCTTCCCTGCGCCTTCGACGTTCCGTGCTTGTCACAACAGTCACGACGGTGACCACCGGGTGGCTTCAATGATGGAACAAAGAGGTGGACGTCTTGCATGACTTGCCGGCTTCCTTACATCGTTGGGACAATAGCGACACATGTATCCAGCTCATGACGATGCGGCAGATTGGGCACATGGATCTTCTTGGGCTTTGCGCAATGCACTGCGACAAAAGCTGTTTTGCAAACCGTTTGCGACTGCTGCAAGGCACGAAAGAAATGCTGACACACCACCAGCCAAGAGACATCACCCGCTTTCGTCGAGTCAGCGGCCAGCGATACATACTGCGAACATTGAGGTATCAAGGATGCGTCACCACGTTCTTCTTCCGGCAGGTTTGGCCATGCAGCACGTCGTTTGAGGGCGTGGAAGAGCAGGCTGCAGTCACTGAGCGATTGCGATGCCAGGAGACTAGCCGAAACATGAACAAACGCGCTGCAACACAACAATCACATCGTTAGAACGCAAGTGAAGTGATCACATGGAAATGCGTCTTGCTGGATTGACGTTTGTTACGTCGCTGCAGCCAGCACACAAAGTGTTCGGTATGTAGAGTTGTTTCGACGCGATGTATGTGCAAAGAGGTCGATGAGCGAAGAAATTGTCACGATGCACTCCCGCCAACAAGTCCACCGGAGCAACAGTGCTGCGTGCACAATGTCACGCGAGTTCCAATCAGTCATAACAGCGAGTATGGCTCGACCAGAGGCCTAGTAGTCGACGGTCCTAAGTGCCTTTGCGATCACGTAATCGTCAAGATTTGGTGCACAGGTTTGATTGGCACGTGCCTCGAGTGCTGAGCTTCCGCTTATGAGTACTCAAGAACTGGGAGCGATTTCGATTCTCCACATGGCCTTTGCCATCGAGTGGCACAACAATGGTTGAGCTTACGACCCAGTAAGTCGTTATTGCGATAAGCCAAGAGCAGATGTGCGTGCGGAATGACTGAGCCAGATCCATCATGGGTCATCGAGTCTTTGACTTCCGGTATCGCCCACTGATCCCGCAGCCAAACTGTTTTGTGCAGCTACGCACTTTCTGTACTGTACACCATACGTGAATGTACTGGCGGCTTTTCACGTATGCAGCCTTCGACGCAGGCGCTACACAGTGCTGCTACACAGGCACTTGTAATCTTGGTACGTGATGCGCACGGTTAGCGTGGTTCAGTTGATGTAGTATTCGCAGAGCTGCCTCTCGATGTTAACTGCGGTTTGACGCGAAAAGCAAGTGCAGGTCGAACACATTTGCTTTTCTTTCGCCCCAGCGCTGCTCAGCTTCATGTGTTTCCAGTCATCCTTGCCATTGTCTGGGTTACACACATGCAGATGCTGATCATATCGACAAGCCAACTCGAATGAATGGATGGGCATATCACATGACGACGCTAGTTGATACCTCTCGTCTGAACTAGCTAGTGATCGAATGTATGGGCTCGTGAGAGGGAGGTACTGAAGCAGGTCGTTCGTTTTGACCGACCAGAAGATCCGTCGAAACAATCGGTAACGTCACGCACGCAGGTATGCAGGGCAACAAAGCATCTATCGATGTCTCCCGTGCCAGTCTGATTGCAACCCAAGCTTGTTTGGCGATGAGCAGCTGCACCCAAACCGCAGCAGCATATCTTCCAGTATATACCAGCATGCAGCTGTTCCAGCTTCCAGTGAGATACTCTTTTCTATTCTCTAGACTTCGACTTCGCAAGAAACGGTATGCTGATCATGACACAATTACAACAGCGGACGTGTAACAACGTGGCAAGTTGTGCTAAACGCGGCGTCCAGGATGAAATGGTGAGCTGAGGCACGAGGGATGGTACTAGGACGTTGTCATGCTATTTCTGTCGATAATAAGCTGAGGCACGAGGGTGGTACTAGGACGTTGTCATGCTATTTCTGTCGATAATAAGCTGAGAGCGACAATCATGTGGCTGTGCTAATGAATGTGCCTAGCTGTACCGGGAAGAGCAGCACATGCCATCGTATGGCCTCCTTTCCCCGGCATATGCCCGTTTCTCCAGCTCCTAGGATATGCTATTTGTCTCGATGAAGCAGCATCTCGCGCAAACGACGCACAACAGTGACTCGGTAGCAAATGCACTATCGGATCCATACTATTTGACCATACCAGTAAGCGAAGATGCGAATCGGAGACCGACAAATACAAATGCAGACAGCAACAACGCCTTTGGCAACAATACGACAACAAGTTGTTGCGCTTGCTGAGCTCCTCAAAGGTCTTTGCCTCTTACTCGCTATCCTGTAATGAGCCCAAGGCCACGACCGTGCACAACAATCACTCTCTCTCTTTTGATCACTTTTCACGTATCGGACCGATAAAGGACCGAGTACGCACAACTTTCGACAGCGGGTGCAGCTGCTCATTGCATCAGCGTGGCACGCAGCCGGTCACTGTACCCTGAAATGACTTAACGCGTTCTAACACGTCGCAAGTATTGCAACATAGCCTGATAACTGTACGAAACACACATGTGCGACCAAATACATCGAACGGACCAGCTGCTACATAACGGAAAAGCGACCTTCAAGATGGGTGCAAAACCCGTTACAGTTGCAAAATGCAATAAGTCTTTGACAGAATCGTCCGCCCGTTGTGATGAGCCGCAAACGCGAGTGGATCGAGCGTCGCCATTCCATCACGGAAGAAAGTGATAGCTCCATGTCGCCCGATCCAGACGAGACGAACCGGTCGGAAGGTGGCGAAGTCATTGAGAGCGAAATGAAGCGGCTGCGCGTGGCCTACAATTACGACGGTACCTTGCGGCTGTTCGACACCATACGTGCAATTAATTGGAGCCAAATGAAATCAATTGGAACCAAATGAACTTAATTGGTTCCGTGCTGCCCCTAATTGTGCAGGTGCCCACGGGGTCCGGCGGGCGGGCGAAGCCGTAACTCTGGCGCCCGACGTGGAGATTCCTCGTGCAAGAGCTGTGCGCAGTGACTATGCTGACATCAACTTTCTGCTGCGGGAGTTCCACTACTTGCGGCAGCTGCGGAAGTTTCAGGCCGAGCGAAGACGAGTTTGAGTTGCAGTGCTCAGTCGCGTGGGACTCGGACAGTCGCACGCGACGGACCGAGTGACGACGGGCGGGGGGCACACAATGGTCACGCACTTTGGAGTGTATACGTATTTGCTGCTTTGGCGTCACGCAGACACGTTCGGTGTGTGTGGTGTGGGTTGCCGTCGGTATGGTCGGAGACGAAGTGCCACAAAGCGAAAGGTATGCGGCAACGGCAACCGATTGACTCGTGTGCGTGTGCACAAGCACAATCAATACAGACGCGATGGCCCGTGCTGCTCCTCGCCATTCCTTTTGGTGGTTCAGCTCGCCCGTGTACCCCCTCAGGTCAACACGAGCGTCAGAGTTACTCGACTGTGCGTAGGTTTTCGGCAAACTCGCGCTCGTTCTCGAACAGCATCGACGACAAGTAGCGCTCGCCAAAGCTCGGCAAGATCGTGACAATGAGCTTGTCCTTGTTCTCGGGACGCTTGGCAACTTCGAGACTGGCCGCCACAGCTGCACCGGACGACGGACCGACGAGCATGCCCTCTTCGAGCGCCAAGCGCTTGGCCATGGCGAACGCGGCGGGACTGTTGACCGTGACGACTTCGTCAATCAGGTCGCGGGCGAGCGCGCCCGGGACAAAGCCCGCGCCGATGCCCTGGATCTTGTGGGGCGACGGGTTCCCCCCGAGAGCACGGGGCTCTCTTCCGGCTCGACGGCAACGATCTGGACGCGAGGGTTCTCCTGCTTCAAGTACCTGGCCGTGCCCGACAGCGTCCCACCCGTCCCCACGCCCGCCACGAACACGTCCACTTGTCCATCGGTATCGCGCCAGATCTCGGGCCCCGTCGTCTCAAAGTGACTCTGCGGGTTCGCGGGATTCTCAAACTGCGCGAGCGTCAGCGCTTTCCCCGCGTCGTTCTCGACCAGTTCTTCGACTTTCGCGAGCGCACCCGCAACGCCCTTCTCGCCCGCCGTCAGCAGTACGTCGCAGCCAAAGGCTTTGAGCAGAATCCGGCGCTCCATCGACGCCGTGTCGGGCATCACGAGCGTGAGCTTGTAGCCGAGCACCGCCGCAGCGAACGCCAGGCCGATACCGGTGTTGCCGCTCGTGGGTTCGACGATCCGGTGCGCTTTCGTCAGCCGTCCGCTCCGCTCGGCGTCGCGGATCATACTCAGACCGATGCGGTCCTTCACCGACGCACAGGGCTCCATGAACTCGCACTTGGCGGCGATCTTGGCGACGCAGCCGGCGGTCACGTGGTTCAGATAGACCAGTGGCGTGTTGCCAATGAGCGCCGTCATGTCGTTGGCAATGCGCAGACGGGCGGCCATGTTGACGGTCGCGAGGAATCTTCACCAATGCGCGCCCTCGGGTGGGCAATGGGGACGATGGACGGGGGACCGGATTGGCTGAAAAGAAGGGCGCAGAAGGCCAATCACCGCGCGCTGGAGGACGGCACCGCGCGTGGCCGCGTCGACCGAATGTAGTGTGCTCGGACGCACGTTGTCGATCCGACATTAGTGGGCGCCACACCAAGTACATACAATCGACCCTGCACCACGTGCAATGCAACACAGAGAGAGCAACTGCAACCATCCACAGACTTCCGGATCATGGCACTTGCTTTCCTCTCTCTAAAGTGCTGCTCGCACAAGTTACGCCAGATGCAGCAGGAAGTTGCAGTGTGTGCTTCAGGTAGCAAGATGACCCGTTACATGGTACTGCATTTATAAATGTCAATGAGAAAAGTACGTGGACCGATAATAGTCAGTGCCTTCCGCTCATCGGTTGGTAGAGGCCATTTCATCACGAACGAACTTCCGATCGATGGCGGACATGCGCAATGGGTAGCTAGCTGATGGTTACAACATGTGTTTATGTTGGTCTGTTGCTAAGGAAGGCTCATGCAGATGTAATCGAAGAAGCTTAACTTTGTGGGGCACAATTCTCTTTTTACCTTCAATGTACGTCTTCACGTAAGTCTGCTCGTTTTCTCTGCACGTACGCATACGTGAGGATACGTGGCACTTGCTTACACGGTCATCAATGTACGTGAGCTGATACCGATGCCAGTATCAGCAAGTACCCCGTTACACCTGGTGGCACTTCGTGCATCGTCTAATGATTACAAACTCATCCACCACTATGGAAGCGGTGGGTGAGGGCAGCTTTCACGCTACAGATTGTATCGCGACTTATTGCTGACCTGAAAAAAACCATCAGTGATCGAGTAACTACCATGTTGTAGCTTGCCAGCTGCTGTCCCATACTTCTTGGCAAAAGTTACATGAAACAAAATTGTTGAATGCTTCAAATGACAGCGTTTTTAGCGTCGTCTTCGGCCGTTCCAACATGCTGCTATGGTTACATTGCAGGTTGTCGGATGTATGAGATACACATAAGACACGGTCAGCGACTTTACCATCCGTAAGCGTGTCATGACGTAGAAGCGACATTGTCTACACATAGACATCCATGTCACTTCGTAAAGAAAATAAAAAACGTATTGCCACGAATATCTATGTATGTTTCTTCCTTACGTATGCTACATTTATGCAAACTAAAGCCCCACGTTCATATTATCGTCTCCTACTGGTGTCAATGACATGGTATTACTTTGGTTTTGCGGAGTTTTGACATGAAGTGTTGCGTACAGAGTTTCGCTCGATGGTACCTGCTCGACGATAAGGTCGATAACGATGTTGGCCGATCGTATGGCTTTGTTTTTACCGGTGCATGGTTGTTTTTGGCCCATCAACCGTGTATTTGCTATGACACAATGGCGTCTGTGTCCCAATCTGTTAGGCTGCGGCAACTTCTAGATGCCCGAGTACAAGATGCTGCATTAGTCACAACTGTTGCTGTCAATGTCTTGCAGCGGTGTACACGTGGTATCATTGTACGCATCCTTGTGACATTTCCGGAATCATACAACGATTGCAGAAGTACATAAGGGCGGACATTCAGACCTATCCATTAGTATCACGGACCGGTGTCGTGTAGAAATTCGGTACTTTGGTACTCCAAGTACACAGTAGACGACTGAGCTCACGCCAAGCCTGCCAGGTGTCGAAATCGATCAATTTATTGCCTACATCTAGTTAGTGATTATATAAGTTGCATTTCTTAGGGCAGCTTCTACATGAAACTCCTATAAATATGTGTGCGTCAAAATAAGAGTGTCATGAGCATGGACTTCATGAATGAAGATGTACTCGTGCTTAGTGTGCATTGACTTCGTGTATGAACGTCTTTGTCGCGCCCGCAAGATCGGGTATCGCAATTCGTCCTTTCCTCGACATTGCCTGCGACACAATTTAACAGCGAAATGTATGAATGATTATAAGGCCATGCTGGCTCTATCATTGATCTCTTCGTATTGCGCAATGTGTCCACAGATAATGGCTCCTATACTGTTCGTCATCTCTTCAGCCGTTCAATCCATTGTTGGGACGTTTCTATTACTTCTGTCACATCACATACGCCGTCGAGCAAATTGGCGCTACAGCAATCATATCTTTTCCGCTTTGTACTACGTAGTTCTAAGCAATTTCGATGACTCCAGAGTGAACCGGTCTCCGTGCAGCAACCCATCATCTCTGGCTAGCGAGAATCCGTCCTTACTTCGCAAAATTATATTCGATGACAAACCAGATTCTATCATCGATGTAATACGCCCGAATGTTATCATCTTAGCAATGAAAAATACTTACTGCAACCTCAATAATGACGTCCTAGAATCAGGCGTGAGAGCTAGAGGCCTGAAAAGCCGTTAGATATGTTTGGAGAATGTAAAACGATATTCTTATAGTTATGTTGCTGCTGTTGTCACGATGTGTTGTCACGGTATTTTTTCTCGATGTATGATAAATTTTTTAGTGTGACGGTGTTTTGTGGTATCAATGTAGAGAGGATCAGGGATCTTATAAGCTTTGTAAATAATGCTCAAACAAGAAGACATTTGCTGCGGGAAGTTAAGGTGTGTCATACATGTTGCAGCGACAACATAGACAGAAATGATTGACGTCTTCGTCGTCGTTTCATTTTGCTTATACAAGTCTAATCTACTATACATACCTTCCCAGAACCAGATTTGGCATGCAATAAAATATAGTACCACGAGACTCGAAATGTGATGTCCTCACCTGTCACTAACTCCAACGTAGTGCCGTCATGGCAACTGCCTGTTTTCATTACTACAATATGCTGCGCCGTTTGTGTCCAACTTTGATCAAGGTTTTTATTCCAACACGCCTCTGTTGAAATTTTCAGCTCGCACCATCTGTGGCTTGACACCAAAATTTTTGGAGATCGTGCAAAACGCTTTATGTCAATTCCTTCGTCAACATACAGCAGGATTGGCGACTCTATCAACCTTATCCAACATGGAATTCTTGCGCTTATTTGCTTTCAAGCAAAATTCCACCATAGCTAAATATACTTTGCTTGTCGAGAATACGTCGGCTTTGCCACCGTTATATATGCGATTGGTAAGCAATCTAATGCGCGCCTTGACAGGTATATCTGGCAACACACACGACCATTCGTACAGCATCGCAGTAATCAAATGAGTGATCTATACCTTTCTTTTTTATGAACGGTCACACAGATGTGAAGTCTTTATGGAATTCCCGAATGAATGTACTTCTTCAAAAACATTTTGAAGTATTCGATGCGAGTACTTCCTACGACCTAGTAAGATAGAATAGTAGATCTCGTGATCTAAATGCCGATACATACTGATATTTTCGCAGAAGTTCCACAATTAAGAGGGGTCGAATCCCATGGTTGTGGAAGTTATCTGTCATTGATTGATGATTCCGCTCACCTGGCTCCCAAGCGATGCAAATACCTGTTAAAAAATGAAAAGTACTGTCTTGGAAGCTTTTTTCAAGCGTTTACGGATGGTAAAAAAGCTTTTGATGTATACTCCGATGCTAGAGGACCTCATCTGGGAGAAATTATCATGCAAGGACAGAATATTCTAGCGCTTCAATTGTGCAGTCTCATCATGCACCAGATGAATTACACTACCACGTATTTGGAGATCCTTTCAATTATGGAACTTCTGCGGGGGTTCCGAACAATTCTCCTCAGGTTTCCGATAGTACTTTACTACTACCCACAATAAGTTGTACACCCGACGGAAACAAGTCTGTGGGCTAAGTATTGACAAATTCGCCTGTACTAGTGTCACCTTAGTATGAGGTACATTAAATGAGATAAAAATGTCGAAGTCGATGATGTTTACGCATGAAATGTGCTACAATTGAAGGACACCGCTAAACAATGAGTTATATGCTCTGAGTGCGCCGCCCGAGTGAGAAATGTATTGTTCAGTCATCCACCAGTACCAGAAAGAAGATAAAAGGATTCAGCCTATCAATGAGTAGCGTAGCAGGGTTCAACAATTCCGACTAACCGCTGAAGACTATCTTAGGGTGCACTTTGGTTAAGTATAAGGCAGTGTAATCTCCCTTTGATATCTTGTGACGACGACATGATCGGCTAGTCGTGCATGATCAAGGGTTAGAGCTCACAGAAGAAACGTTCCGGGGAATATTGCGTAGCTACGGTCTAAAATCTGATCCAATGACGTCGAAGAACCCGCAAGCTAATGAGCTTTGCGAGCGCTAAGATTTAGAAATATTGAATGTGATACGTTGCCAACTAGGCGCATATTGGTCAAACGTTATTCATTACGCCGCTTTTTCCGTATGATCAAGCTACCATAGTATTATCAATGCATTCTTAGGGCAGCTACATTTTGGACAAAACTTGATCTCGTGCCAGTTACGGATCACATTATGGCTGCTACTGGGACTTCAAATTTCACCTCACTCTCTATACGGCACATCACTCCGACCTAATCAACAATATATTATACATCGACTCGTTGTTTGTAAGATACACAATGTCGTTGATAGTGCGCATCGTTCATCAATCAATTATCGGTAAGGATACAAATGTGCGATGTGACGATTAATGATGAGAGAATAGAAGTTAGGAGTGCTTGATTGGACAAAAGTTGTCGAGTCCATAAATCGAGTAGGAGTAAAGGTAGCAGAAGAGATTGCGAACGAGGGAGCTATACTTTATATATACTCTGCCTTTACAATCAAGTATATAAATCCCTTTTTTTCGTGGAGTCGTCGAGATATAGCGATATTAGCATGCTATTTCTATTGTCAGCATGTCCATGGTATTACACGGCTCAATCGCACATCTTTGATATTCGTTTCGTTTACCCACCTACCAAATTCATCATTCAGCTCATGTCCATTCCGGCGAAGTTAATACGATATTTTTCAGACTGCTGATATATGTCCTA